TGGGGGGGGGGAGAGAGAAAGAGAAAGAGAGAGAGAGAGAGAGAGAGAGAGAGAGAGAGAGAGAGAGAGAACACTCAGCATGACTTTACAGAAATGAAAATGTTACAGTAGGTAACTATTCGTATAACACCAGCATACAATGGCACCAGTAAGTGTATCGACAAATTGATATGACTATCCAAATATATCACAGTGCTTCTTCTTGAGATATTCCAGGAAGGCCAAGAAGACAACTAACCTCAGTGAGCACCCACTACTACGCGGTCTATACCTGTGATTTCAGGACATCCTCGTTATCCGCAGGACGAGGCTATACCATTGCCATTTTCAGGCAAGGAGAGTGCAGTCCGAAGACATATTTCACCCAAAGCACCCAGCTAGTAGCAGCCAAAGCCGAGACAAAGTTATAAAGCTCCAGATGGGTGGCTCGGCTGAGATGGCCTGGGAAGGATCAGAGCTTTGAGAGTTATGTTCTGATGAGGAGAAAAAGGAACACTCTGTGTTGACGTCGCTGCCGATAAGGAGGGCTGCTACTAGTACCCGCCGTATCAGTATCCTGCTGGCAACCCTCTTATCACCCTTTGCTGAACATGACTTAGGTTGTGTGTGTATTTTGGACTCACTGTTTGGAACTGTGGCAAAGTTGGAGAGTTCAGAAGCCTTGGCACTTTCTAGGTGGTGTTATGTAACGGGATGGAAGCCTGGGTTGGATTGGGGGACCTGGGCTGAGTTCAAGAGAAGTCACTTATTAACTATGAGGGTGGTCAAGTTACATCATTTCACTGGTGCCAGCTAGGGCTTTGCCACCAGAGGGAGGCTGAAGCAAGGGACCTTATAAGGACTTTCCTGACTCCATGATTCAACCCTCACTGACTTGAGTGTTTATGTCTGCGACTTTCATCAACATCCATTAGAAATGACCCTCCGCTAGCAGATTTGTGTAGGCAAGATGACCAGGTAGCTCAAATTATGCATTTGTTAGTCACGTCACACATGGATGTGGCATTTAGCACCTGTGTTTCTTCTCCCCTTGCAAGAGTAGCCTGGACTGAATAGGCTAAAGTACCCATTTCCAGGAGTTCATCAAGAATGCATTCAAATCTTTGGTCAGACTAAAGTCCACTCAGTCCAAGCTCCATTTCCTATTAGCTCCTTGACTGAATGTCTCTTAGTCTCTGTCTTTCTCTCCCCTTTGCTTTGCTTCTGTTAAATTGGAATTGATAATGAATATAAGTCATAGAGCAGTCAATACTTGGCATCTTGGAAGAACGGAAGAAGTCCTAGTGGTTGTTATAGCCAGGGACCAAGCTATGACCAGCTAGTTATAAACCAGAAGTGGCTGGTTAGCCTTAAGGCTGGCTAAAAATTCAAAGGAAATTTCTCCACAGACAGAGCCTGAGATCAAAACCCATCAGCACTGGGAACTTGCCATTGCCCAAGAAATAAATTCAAGACCCGGTAGAGAAGTGTAATTGCTCTGTCTAGACCTCCTGGCACTTCAGCCTTCCGTGCCCATGTGTCTGAGTCACTGCTAAAAGGAATACCTGAAGACAGGCAGTGCCACGGGTGTCTTGGAAGACCAAGGCTATGCTCACCCTTCATTCCCCATGTCTTGACTGGCCCATTTCCCAAGTTCTGCCCTAAGGTGCCTAGGGAACAAAGGGGCTGAGAGACGTGGCTGATTGTATGCTAGTCACTGGTTTTATGTGTTTTACCAACTAGAACAATACCCAGGTAGCCCATCGGTAGCTGTTCTGTCCATTTGATCACTGTCTGCTGCCACCTTCCAAGCTTTCTTTCCCTCCCCCATCTCCTACCACTCCCATGATTTATCCCCTATGTTTTTTTTTTCCTACTTAGCTATTGTAATGTATTTCAAATTCCTTCTCCAAGTTTTTAGAGTAGTGAGGTTGATGGAGAGCCTTGGTGGAGAAAAGAAGGTCAGAACAAAGACCAGATTCAAATCACCAGTTATGGGAAGCTAAAGGGAGGCTTTCTATTATCACAATACCAACAAGGAGATAAGGTGTGTGTGTGTGTGTGTGTGTGTGTGTGTGTGTGTGTGAGCTCAAAGGCCCACATGGAGGCCACAGAACCTCTGGCTCTTGTGCCCCAGGCACTGTACATTTTTTTTTTTTTTCTTTTCAGGCAGTGTTTCTCACTAGGCTGAGATTTGCTTGTCTAGGCTGACAGATCTTCAAGCCCCTGCCTCCCCAGCAATGGAATTACAAGCATGCTCAGCCTTTTCTTTTTTTTTTTTTTTTCTTTTAAAGGTATCTTCTGGAAATCCAATAATTTAGGGCCTCATGTTTGTAGAGCAAGCACTTTACAGACTGTGCCATCTCTCAGGCCCAGGGTTTATCTGTTTTCTACAAGTCAGTTTACCAAGCAAAGCCAGCAACGTTCCAAATGTTTCTAACTGTTTTACAAGAGACAAGCCACACACCATAACCAAAGCCTGCTGATGTCCAAAAAAAAAATAAGGGAGTAAAACAGCTGACTGATAACTAATTATCATTAGAGATAGCATGCTAATTCAAAGATTCTTCTCGGCCCTAACATTCTGTAATTTGACTACTTTAAATAAATCATAAGTTTATGATTGTCATATTGATTATTTTTTATGGCATACCATTCATCACAGCTAGCCATATATCAGTTAATGGTGAGGTCCTGGCCCATAATGGAATCTCCCCAATACAAACCATGGAGTATGATCTGTCTTGTCATGGTCTAAGATATAATAAACTTTATAGACCAAGTTTTTATAGGATAGCATGTAACTATCTTTTAATTGATCAGAAATATCCCTTAACTAAGTGTGCTTTTCCAACGCTATTAGGTGAGCTGTTAAAAAGGTGTTAAAAAAACATGTTAAAAAGATGGCATCTAGAGGACTCCTTAATAATCCATTCCCTACCCCCTTGTTAATGACTCTGCGTTTAAAGTTCCCCGAGAAGGATCGACAACCATTATAAATTATTCTTTAAAGATCGAGGAGGGAAACAGAGGCAAGAGATGCTGTTAATTCTGATGCAAATGGGAAATGTCTGTGACTTTAGATACTGGCCTCTTTCAGAACTCTGGTTGGGATTTATCTACTATGTATACAAACCTGTCTGCTGGAAGTAGAACATTTCAGGCAGGTGGAGGTTTTGAAGGGCTACTCTACTTCGAGGCTCCCTAGTAGTGTAGTGTGTGCTTTTACCAAAGACTTCTGCAGAGTGCTTGTAAGAGATGGTGTCTCTGCCTCCATGGTCCTATAACTTCATGGCTCGAAACAACTACTCAGTCTCTGATGGTTTGAAATTCTACCTCCTGCCTATTCCCAAATGCTCATCTATGTAGCTGAAAACTTGTGCTTGGTACATGGGATTCAAAAGTAATCTCACAGAACAGAAAATACTGAATTTCTTATGAAAGTTCTGTGGGACCCGTCCCCACCTTTCAGCTTTGGGACCTGCACAACCATGGTTTATTCTCTATCATTTCATATGGGAAGGCCTGATGTCTTGCCTCTTAAATTGGCTTGGAAACTTCTTAAGAGTTGGAACCCACCTACCTCCTGTAATAAAAATTCTTATCCTTAACAGATCCATGCTAGGAAGTTCCCTACTCTTACTCAAGGGAGTGGAATCTGTTCAACAGGAACAGCTGCTCCGTTGAGCGTCACTGGGTGATCTGTAGTTACTGGGTTAAACAAATCGCTTAACCTCCCTTGGCCCCAGTCTCCCTGTTGAAGAAGAAGTTTTCAAATAAGAGTTTATGTCTTAGAGTAAGGTAAAATTTTAAAAATTAATCAAAAGTTGTTGCATACCACAGATATATATATATATATATATATATATGTGATATTTGTCCATTTATATGAATACACAATACCCGTAGAATAAAAACATAAATGTACAGAAGCAAACACTACCCAAATCTTGACTCAAACTCAACAAATGTCCACTACTATTCTGTCAAGTTTACTTCTATGTCCTGAAGGCTAAGATGAAGTTGAATTGTCTCCATTACTGAGACCCAGATTCCCAAGATCCTCAGCTGTCTAGTGCCATTTTAATTTTCAAGTTAGTAAGAAAACCGCAGAAAGGAGTGAGGGGCACAAGGTTCATGCTAGCACCATCTTCCTCACAGAGAAAATAGGACGATTTCCATCAACAAAGAGCTTGCGTCATTTCCAATAAACAAGGCAAGAGGCAAAACCCAATTCTTCCAAGACACATGAAGAAACCTGTTCTAAAACCCACATTCAGCCTCAGCGACTGCACCATCCATCTGTGTGTTGTGGGTTTGCACAAAGATACTGACCTGGCTCACGGAAGTGAAGAACAGAAGTCCCTGCTCGTAGCTGGACTTACCTAGAGACAGAGAGAAACACTGTTGAAATCTCACTGCCTGCCAGGAGCCCATGGGAGCTCATGGATTTTTGCATGTTTTTTATCTCTCTCCCTCTCTCTACAGCCACCTGATTTTAGCTGATGTCATGCATACACTGGCATTTCTTTGGGTCAAGTGTATCCTGAAATAGCTATGTTAACATTTTATAGCATCCACAAAAGTATATTTCTGAGCATTTGGGGATGTTACAGAAAAAACACTTAGCCACAAGCTGATGGGAGACACAGTGAAAACTCAGACTCTTGATTTTAAAACAACATCACCTTAACCCCAAAGCAAGCAATTCTGGTTTCTTCTTCTTTTTTTGTGGCAGTATTAATTCATTAACACCAACTAGCTTCTGTGCCTCTTTGTGATTGATTACACATAGCCCTGTGCCTTGAAATGCACACGACCTTCACAGTCTTGGAAGGTAAGAGTAGGCAAACTTAAAAGATTGTTGCTAACACCCCCACCCCCAATGGTAGTTCAAAGCCTTCTACCCTGGGATGAAATGGGTCAAAACCATACCCCCATTAACAATCAAATATGATCGAGGAATCTCCAGGGGAACCTTGTTTAACATAATAATTGACTGCTCACTCCACCTGTGGAGCAACATGCAGATAGACGTTCTTCACAGTCTAAAAGCTTGAGTTTATCTTATGGGAAGCACCAGGTCTCATAGACGCCCAAACGATCATTGAAGATGAAATACAGCACCGAGTCTCAAGGTAGTGTTTGTAAGTGAACTTAGGAGTCTCTTGACGGTTTACTATCGGCCCCCTGGCAAAGCGGAAAGCCCCTGGAAGCTTGGGATGATTTTGAGTCTCAAGGAGTTTCTTGAAGCAGCCAGTCCAGCAACCGGGATGGGAGAAACTCCAGAGCTAATGAAACTAAGTATCCAAGAAGAGTTCAGCAGCTCCCCCCAAACACAGGCCAGGGAGGTTCAGTCAGGATGACTGCTCTCTACTTTCTGCAGTTCCCCAGCTTTCTGTGGGGGTGTATGTATAAAAATCTTCAGGCCCCCCCCCCCCCCAGCACAGTCAGTTCCAAAGTCACAGCTTGTGCGCTGACGTGAAAAGCCAAGTCAAAACCCTGTGTTTGGCTCTCCCTCCTAACTTTCTGGCTTGTCCAAGTCTAAATATTGACTTTGCTCCTCCGTTGAGTAGTTTGATACGGGATGGAAACCGCACCGCCAACAGAGGGATCGAATGATAT